TATATATATAGTTATATCTATTTATAAATATCTGTAACGTTGGCTGTGTTGATTTGATTTTTTGAATACGACTTGCCATTTGCCGATATTTGATGACTGTTTGCTATTGTTGTTGTAATTATTATCATTATTATCACTGTTGCAATTGGTTTTTTTTAAGTTGGAAATTTTTAAAAATTATCTGCTAGCCCCTTTTTTTCTCCTTCTCTATCTCTTAACTCTATCCACTCCAGTTTTCCTTTTGAAAACGAATATTTTTTCGGAATGTGTTCGTTTATTTTTTTCTGTTCATTCATTTATTATTAGGATTATTAGTTTATTTATTGTTTGTAGTATTCATTTTTGAGTTCATATTTATTTATTTTTCGGATTAATTTATTAAGATGATGGAAGAATAACAAGAGGAAATTTTATGTGAAGTATTATTCGATAGATAATTGGCTATCAATAAACGAATAACGTGCAGATCAGAAAAGTGGACGGTCAATTAGGCAGCCATTGCAAATGTTGCAAAATAATGGGACAGAGAAAAAGATTAGAAGCGAGAGAATTCTAAAAGAAAACTTACCAAAAGAGATATTAGTTTGAATAATGTTATTATTTGAATTTGATGAAGAAGTTAATCTGTTCACTTGTTTTTGATTTATCGCTGTTGTTGTCGATGGTGATGATTGTTTGTTTGTTTGTTTGTTTATTTACTCTTTTTTTTTCTTATTTTTTTTCTTATTTCTTTTCTTATTATCACATGTATTGGTATTATCATTGTATGGATATGTGGTGATGCATTCACCAAAAAAACGAATGAAATTTTTTGCAAAAAATTTTTTCTACCTGATAGTAACAATGTTCATATGGTCTCACATATCATTAACAATTGCCGTTCTCTTATATCTTTCTTGTTAATTTTCGTCACGTTATTATTATTATTGTTACTATTATTATCATTACTATTTATTATTATTATCATTGTTACTGACGTTATATAAGTAGCCAGCCGCCTAGATGATTCCACTCAATTTCTCATTTAAAATCTCTTCTATTGATTGGTTGATTTTGATTATTCTTCGTTCAGAGAATCAGCATCAAACCTTGAAATATATGAATATGTTGCATATTTGCTTTTCGAAATCTTTTTTTAATTGTTCTTGCTTTCGTTATTATTATTGGAGTTGAAGTTTGAATAGATCAGCTACTTGATGAATTTGTTTGATTGATCGTTACTGTGTGTTTGATATTCATATTACTGATTAATTGACAAGCTTTTATGCATTCGTTTCTCTATTTGACTGTCTGACATATTATAATTTCACATACAATGATGAAGGTACAAAGATAATCGTTGAAATTGTGATTGTGACGGTTAGCGCGACAAGCCGGCATGATGTGAATTCAGGGAAGACAGTAAGCAAATAGATTTCAAATGAGCGTGCAAAGGAGCAGTAGCATGCTGGGATCACGTTGTGCTTTTAGGATCCAATGAGTTCAGAGGGTCTGAGTCGGTTCAAAATTTTTGCTGAATTTCGATGTTGCTGGTAGAGAAGAGAGAGAGCCGAGCATTGACAGTAATCACACAGACGCAAACAATTCTGAGTTTAGTTTTATTCCAGATTCATTATTCATTGTTGATACAGTTACTTGCTATAGTCCTTTTAGCAATATTTCTCCATCTCTTGAAAATTTTGATGGCCCTTATCCGTGCACAACGTGTACATGTCCTTGGAGGAATAGATGGAGATTGGATCAGTGCTGTTTGGTTGACTTAGTTGATACTTACTTTATCGTTGATTCATCTCACAGTATGATTTATTATTTCGCATTGTTTTATTTCATTATTTTCTGCAGTATTGATATTATTATTGTCATTATTATTAGAAAAATTAGTACGACTAGTATCATTAGTGTTACCTGTTATTAGAAATATCCGCACTAGTTTTAGCGGTATGATTGGCTGATTAATTGTCATTGTTGTGTGGTGATGATGGTGGTAGTGGTGGTGATGATGATGATGGTGGTGGTGATGTGATGGTGTGGTGATGGTGGTGGTGGTGGGGATGATGTGGTGGTGTGGTGATGATGGTGGTGATGGGGATGATGTGATGGTGTGGTGATGATGGTGGTGTGGTGAGAATAGGGTTGCAGTTCAGCAACTATCATACATTATAAGTGAAATTAAATTGTGACAGATATTTTTTAAATTTGATTAATTGTATATACATAAATGATGTTTGTTTTGATTGTGTGGAATGTTGTTTTGATTGTTGTTTATTGATTGATGCTTGTGTTGTGTCTCGCTTTTGATGCGTGTTCCTTAATTGGAATTGATTTTGTTTGTGTACGGGATTTGTTTGTTTCGTGAAGATTACTACCAGTAGTAAGTTATGATGAAAGAGGAAGAGGGTGCGAATGATTATAATTATTATGTTGATATGTTTGGGTTATTGATAGTATTTTCATTATTATTATTATCATTATTCTTGTTGATAACATCTTGATTAAAAGAGGTGAAGAATAAGGAGATGATTCAGAATTAGTGAAGAATTAAGTAGTATTATGGTTTTGATTAAGGTAGCGAGAGTCTTTGAAGGAGATTGTGCGTAACCCCTAGCTTGAACATGAGGTGGTTTCGACGTCGGGATCGGTGCCCTAAATTTCAGTCTTGCCCATTTAATTCTTCCAATACTTACTCATCTGCAACATATGCTAATGAAGCGTTCTAGTTTTCAAGTCATCTTGTTCTGCTTCTTCTTTTTTCAAACAATTCATTTGACATATTTTCATTCGTTTATTTTCATTAAACTTTTCAATATGCCATATGTTTTTGTTTGTGGTGTATGGTGTGCTTATAATATTGGTCATTGAATGGATTTGATATTTTTGAAACGATTGATATATTCATTGATTGCGATTGAGATTATCATTATGTTTGCTATCACGTTGATTATGATGACGATATTGATGAGTACCATGATGACTTGTTGATTTTGGATTTGCAAGTTTGTTCTCGTCCTTTTTGTGAATATTGTTGCTGTTGTTGTTATCATATCATATCATCTTCTTGTTATTGCTGTTGTTATTGTGAACGATACGTTATAAATACATGTTCAGCAATTTGCATTGTTTTCGCTTTTTCTTTGTTGCTTTCAATCAACTATTATCAACTCTGCCATTTCAAATCCAACTCAAAATGTATTCCATATCAACAAATTCTATTTTTCAGGTGTTAATACGGTCATATTTATTCAAGCAAGAAATTTTTAATTTTTTGTTAAACGGCAAAAAATAGTCGCTATGTTTTTTAAAGCTAATATTAGTACAATTATTATTGTTGTTATTATTATTACTTTTGCTGTCTTTGTTACCATTATTGTTATTATTAATATCATTATTATTAAATTATTAGTACTGATTACGTTGATTATCATCAACATTTACTTTTGCAGTTTATTATTTATGTATTAGTTCATTTTTGAGTTTTGTTCCTTCAACTTTCCAACGTTTCGTTTTTGCTTCAGCTGTTCTCATTGAAATAGATTGCATTAATATGATGTTGTTGTTTTAATTATGATAACCACAACTGATTGATTAATTATTGACAGATTGATGAATAATTAATTGCTAAATTTTAATTGGTTTGTATGTATCGTTAACGTTTTTTTCACGTTTTCCAATTTCTCTGATCATCGTTTAATTTTGTAGTTTTACTATTGTTGTTGTTGTTGTTGTGGTGGTATATCAATCAATCATCAATGAGCCGAATATCTCATTTTGATTATTCGTTCGTTTATTAATTCATTCGTAATATTGAAGTGAAATAAAAATCTGTTATTATGATTATGATCATTCTCACAGTCGTTATCTTGTCCGTCACAATTTCGGTTCAGCTCTGTAACTTCACGAGATGAAGTTGAGTTGAGAGTGCATTCGATTAGAGTATGTTAACGGTAAATACCGTTGGTGGTTTCCACTTTATTAATTAATTTCAAATATTGTATTGTGACAAATCATTTCATGCGGCGGCCGAGGCCGTAGCCTAGTTGTCGGATTATCTGCCGGGTCGACGACGACGCACTTGTTTTTTTGATTATGTTCAAAATTGCTTATGATGAATTAATCATTTGATAAGGGGACTGAATAACACGATTGCTATTTTTGGGTGATTTCTTATTTTAAAATTGATCATATTCGTGGAACTGTTTTGGTTGGAACTATGTAATCATCGGGTAAATTACAGATAAAATTTGGTGAGTGATCGTTCTTGGGATGTTTTTAAGCCTAAGCCTCAATTTGACCCAGCCCCGTCGTTCAGTTTCTGTTCCTGTCCAGTAGCCGGGCACCTCTGTTACTTCTTTAGGTACTTATACTTATGCTTGAAATTCTCGAACTACGTCTCTTCATGTGAATTTCTCTTGCCTGCTATTTCCCGAATGAGCATAATCAGCAAAGTATGTTCAAAACGGAGCTAAAATTATT